AAGTGCAGGAGGAGGAGAAGGAGTGGCCAGCAGTGTGATATGAGCCGCTACTTGCGCGCAGCTACTCCACGTCAGAAAGAAGAAGACAGGGAGAGGAAGAGGAAGAGGAAGAGGAAGAGGAAGAGGAAGAGGAAGAGAGGGAAGGGAGAGGTGGGGAGCAGGAAACGAATGAGTAGGAGTAGGAGGAGGAAGACGAGGAGGAGAAGGACGAGGAGGAGGTGAGAAGAGGAGGCAGGAAGAAGCTGAGGGAAGGGGAGAGGAGGACCTGTCATCTTGAGCGTCTGTGTGAAATTGTTCGAGGAGAAACTTGAAGAGATGTAAGAAAGGAAAATTGATGATGATGATGATGATGATGATGATGATGATGATGATGATGATGATGATGATGATGATGATATGACCTCATTCAGCTCCTGCATCAACTCGTCCGCATCGATCTCCTGCTCCTCTACAAACTTCTTGCAGATGTATTTGTGCTGCTCCCCTCCGTCAGCTCCAACCCAGCAGCCAGCCCCCGCTCGAACTCACCAGCTCGTTCTTCCTGCTCTCACCTTCCTGCCCTCCCCACCTGCTTGCCAAGTTGAGAAGAGCAGGAGGGATAGCCGGTAACAGGTAGGAGTAGGGCAGGAGCAGGAGGGGAAAGAACTGAACGAGGAAGAAGGGAAGACAAGCAAGAGGGAGGAGCAGGAGGAGCAGGAGGAGCAGGAGGAGCAGGAGGAGCAGGAGCAGGAGTGAACAAGTAGGAGAGGAGGGACGAGGCATAAGGGAGAAGGGGGGAGGAGGGAGGAGGGAGGAGGGAGGAGGGAGGAGGGAGGAGGGAGATGGTGAGGAAGATAGTGAGGGGATTGGGGTCGGAAGAGCAAGGAGTGCGAACCCGTTAGTAATGGCGAGACTTAACGCAGTCCACCTGCACTCAGACTGAGAGTTAGAAGATGGTGAGGGGGGAGGAGGAGGAGGAGGAGGAGGAGGAGGAGGAGGAGGAGAGGGAGAGGAGGAAGAAGAGAAAGAGGAAAAGGAAAAAGAGGAGGAGGAGGAGGAGGAGGAGGAGAGTAGTAGGAGGAGGCAAGAGGCAGGAGGAGAGGGCGAGGGAGAAAGAAGGAGGGAGGACGGGCGGAAGATCGACCGGTCAAGAATTGTTGAAACTGCATCCTCGAAAAGCTGCTGTATCTCCTCTCCTCCTCTCAGTCTCATCGAGGAAAAGGTGAATGGTTCAAGAAGGTAGCTTCCCGCGCAAGCTCCTGCTCCTGCTCCTGCTCCTGCTCCTGCTCCTACTCCTGCTCCTGCTCCTGCTCCTGCTCCTGCTCCTGCTCCTGCTCCTGCTCCTGCTCCTGCTCCTGCTCCTGCTCCTCCCCCTTCATTCTCCACTTCAGGCCCTCCTCCACGCAGGCCTGTCAGTCAGCAGTTCAGAGAAAGGATGCATTGGAGAAAAGGAGAGAGACGGAGGCAGAGGATGGGAAAAGAAAAGAGGAAGAGGATGAATGGGAGGAAAAGAAGAGGAGGAGAAGTTTTCAACGGTCCGTGGAAGGGTTAACTAACTTTTTTTCAGTCTTCTTTGGCTTTTCGATGGTCTGAGAGGAAGGAGTCAAGCAAGAACAGAGAGAGAGACAGAGCAGAGCAGAGCAGAGCAGAGAAGAGCAGAGGGAGGGAGGAGAGGGGAGTAGAGGAGAGGAGAAGATATGAGGAGAGGAGTGGAGTGGAGGGGAGGGA